TATCAGTTTCAGACGGGAGACAAACAGTGCGCTGGTGCTGTGTTTTGTTAACCCATCCATCCACCCCAACGTTGCTCCCTATCTAACTTCTTCATTTGCTCCAGTCATAATTACTACGGCCGCTGGGTTGTGTAACAATAACAAGAAGCTGTAGGTCGTCAGCTGTGTGGAGAAGTGTGTGGAGTAAAATCAAAATGACCTCCCTGTCTAAACACAAAAGCACAATCACTGTAATATGTATTGCAGCCTGAACCATATGCACCCTGATGACAACCACTTCTTATGCTGGTACAATAAACCCTCCACAGACACAGTTGTCACACTGGGAGCAGTGGCAGGGACATGAGTGTAAACAAGAACCACATGACTTTCAGGAAACCGGGGACAGACTGCACATCTAGGTTAAGTTTTATTTAAAGTGTTCAGAGGAAAGATCTGCAAAGAAAAGGGAAGCAGAGCAGGCGAAAGGAAACTCACACTGTGCAGGCGACTGAACAGCACCCTGAGGCTGTTTATCTATACCAGCCCGACCGTTTCACAAGAAATTAAAACTGCAGCTCAGAGGGTTTGACTGAAACAGCTAGGAAGTATATGGCAGAGTGACAGTGTCAGTGCAGCCAACAATTAGCATTTTTTATGTGAACATATGTGTTGTGGTGTCCTCTGACAACTGCACGGTTGGCAGCCAAACGTCCCTGCGGAGATGAATTGGGAACAACACAATTGCAGAATAACTGCAGTTTTACTTTGATGCATTCACTTGCATCTGTCCTGATGTTCTTGGACAGTAGTTCCTGACATTTTTGGCTTGTGACACTTTAAATTAAATTAATGCCGCACAGGTTGCAGTTAGTTAGATTGAAACTGAGGATAATGATCTAATCCTTTCAGGGAATTCTAGCTGTAAGGTCAGAGTTTAGAGTCACCTCTGGGCCTGGTGAGCACACAGGAAACATCAGGATTGCTCAGGGGCTCTTCATCAGGGAAATTACTTTTATTTGGGTTTAAACTTGTGATCTTTTACTTAAGTAACATCCAGTCACATCCGACCCACCAAGCACCATTTGGTTTTTTGTTGAGATTTAGATGAGAAAATTGACAAAACTCTCGTATCTCTGCATTAACTATGAGGCTGGGACCTGTAGTCACGTTAGCTTAGCATAAAGACGCTAAAAAAAGTTATCCAAGCGCTGTCCTAAGGTTAAAACTAGAACGTTTGTGCCAAATTTGAAAGGATTCCCTCGAGGAGTTCTCGAGATATCAAGTTCACAAGGCCAAAAATCATGTTTTGTGAGGTCACAGTGGACTTAACCTTTGACCTTTGACCACCAAAATGTAATCAGTTCATCCGTGAGACCAAATGAATGTTTGCATCAAATTTGAAGAAGTTCCATCAAGACGTTCCTGAGATATCGAGTCCACGACGGACAGATAGACAACCTGAAAACAGCCGAAATGCATTTATTTTGAAAGAGAACATATTCTAGTTTCTGAAAACGCGGTTGATTTGCATGTGACTGGCATATACTTTATACAAGAACAATGAAAAGTCCTAATCAATTCTACATCTTGTCAAAAACTCCTCTGTGAAGCTTCATCGCTTCTAGACCTAATAGTTTAGTTTAAGTTTACACAGAGCCAGGCTAGCTGTTTCCCCCTGTTTTCAGTCTTTATGCTAAGCTAAGCTAACAGTGGCTTGACTCTACCTCTCATAGTCAACAGACTAAGCCACAAGAGTGGTACCATCTTCTCATCTAGCCATCAACAACAAAAGCAAGAGCTACACTTCAAGCTGTTCTGTTAGCATCAGTTAGCAGCTGATGCCGTGTGTTAAACTGCAGGAGCGATGAACCAGTCAAAACATTGCAATGTGTGTTTATAGAGGACAGTGGCTGCGGCTGCAGCGATGAAGAAGCAGGCCTGCCAGACGCACTCGGGACGAAAGTGGATAACGTCTAATCATGTTCCGCACTTGTGAATCTGTCACACTATTTCTGGCATGAGATTAGAGGACTGCCACCGTAAAGGAGAAGCTTCCAACAGCGAGAGTGATATACAATTTATACATTTCATTCTGAAATGCCAGCTTCCCATTTTAATTTTCCATATCGCAATGTGTTTCATTTTGTCTTGGCAGATGTCCTTTCTATTTTTCTGCAGACCAGTGTTTGGTGAAATGAAACTGCTCATGTGTAACTTTCTTGTTCGCTGGAAGATCTACTGATTTGATATTTGTTCACACACAATGAGTCACTACTATAGAGGAACTGGTGTGGTTACCCATTTTTTTATCTACACAGCATTGTTGTCTGCTGACTGAACCCAAAGACTGCAATTAAACAAATGCATGATATAAAAATTTTATCATGGGGCAGCTGCATGTGATTAATAAGTGAAAGCTGCAGCAGCTGTGTACAGCGCCATGCAAAGACCCTAAGTTTTGTTTTCGGTCATTGTTTATCAATGGTGCTCACTTACAGTAAGGATCAAGTTCAGGCTTGTTTGAGGAGTTTTGGAGTGTGGCCAGGGTTGTCTGGTGTCGTTTACTGGAGCAGTGGTTCTTTGTTTGTGTGTGTGTGTGTGTGTTCACTTAATCTTCTCCAGTGTGGGAAATTTCTACCAGAGAAATGTTTTACCTGTACCTGGCTTGGCACTCCTGACTAAAGCTACTGCATGTTTTAAAGATTTTTAGGCCTTCATATATTTTATTGTGCATCACCCTTTTATCAACCATATTTATTCTGTTTATTTACTATTGCACTTTATTTTGCTTGTCTGGTTTTCCTAAAGCGAAACGTTATTTCGTTTTTATGTATGTAAAAGCTTTGAAATGACCATTAAAGGAAATTAGAATCTGAAATGTGAATCTGAATCTTCTTAATTTTGGAGATTTGAATGGTTCAACACACAGTAGGTCTTTCTCAGCCTTGGAAAAACACTGTTTGTAGCCTATTTGGTTTTAGCTTTATACCTCAATCTCAAACACTCTGGATGTGGACTTGACCTTGTTTTGGGATTTGACTACTAAATAAAATAAAATAAAAAGGTTAAAACATTGGAAATTGAATTCTCCAAGCCACAGCAGGGGTTAAGGAAGTTTCCCAAACAGCAGCAGCAAGCTTCTGTAGGACTGAGCAACAATGGATGAACTCTATCCCCAACCGCCAATAAAAAGCAGCTTTTCAAGTCTAACATAATGAGTAATAATGGTATCTCCCACTTGGGGAAATTTTCCAGTGCCGAACCTTAACTCAACACAATAGGTTTAGCTTTTGATTAAAGGCTTCAATACATAAAAGATGACAAGTCAACTGAACAGAGTCATTATTTTTTTCCACTGGGATGGGCAGCATGTGCTACTGTGGAGGTATATGACACCAAAGTTTCACTATCAGCAGTTGAGGTTACAGCGGTTGTGGTTGATGTTGCTCATAGCAAAACAAACCAACCACAGGATGGCTTTGAATGAATCAGAATTTTTATTGTCAGATGAGAAGAAGAACTGCTGTCACCTAGTGCCTCGTACTCGATAGTACAATGTGTCAGAGTCAACGTTTTGAGATCTCTGCACTTTACGGACTCAAAGCAACACTCTCGACTACATGTGAGGTTCAGGTTGAAATGACAGGCTGCAGTGTGTTAAAGGTACCTCAGTCACTAGAATAAACATAATCTAGACCAGTAGTTCCTAACCTGTGTGCTGCAGCCCCCTGGTAGTCAGTGAAGGTATTGCAAGTGGGACAACAAATTTTTATATGTTTATATAATTTAATAATTCTAATAATTTTGAATAATTTAAAAAGGAATAATCTTTAAAAATATTTAAAAATGTTTAAAAACGCTTATTTTTTCTGGTACTATGGCCTATCACTGTGATAAGCCTCTGTGGAGAGTGTGGAGCCTCCTTCATCATCATTACAATAAAAAGTGTTCTGAAAACGTATTATCTGGCCTCTGTATTGTTATGGGGTCAGATGTGGGCTGCCAACATTTTTGCTTTCACACTTAATTTTGTCTATAAAATGCCAGAAAATAGAGAAAAAGCCTCATTTATATTTAAGTTGATATCTTCAAATGATTTGTTTTTTGACTGACAGTGAAAGATATTCAGTTTGCAAAGATATGAAACAGAAAGTATTATCAGATCATCATGTTTGAGAGGCTGGATTACTAAAAATACTAAAATTTGGTATCAAAATAATTTTTCTTTGGATCAACTAATCAATTAATGCAATAATTGTTGCTCTACTTCCATTACTCAGGAAAAAATGATGTTCTCTAATCTAAAATTTGAGCATTATATATTATTATTATAGATTACATCTTTGTTTCTTCATTTTTGTAATTGTTTCCCCTAAGAACACCTCCTTCAAAATAAAGAACAAATAATAAAAGAATATAACAATGAAATTTAGATTTTCTAATCTGTTCGTTAGCATTATAAGTTATCATTAAAGATTTATATTATTAATTAAATAATAATAATAGCCTATAATAAAACCATTAATATACATTATTATAATTATAATTATTAAAATTATTATTATTCAATTGTTAATATTTATTAAATGATTATTAGGTTATAAATGACATGTTTTTTTCCCCTTTTTGTAATTGTTGCACCTAAAAACACCCACAAGCAAGAAATGATATAAAATACAAATCTGTAATTCTATATATTTGAATAAATCTTTACATTTTAATAGGAAAACAATCACATTCATATAATCATCTTAGTCAATACAATTATTGACCATGAGAAATACAGGCATTGCAACATAAAATGAGTAAGAACTAAACCAGTCAAAATTTAATGAAAAGTATAACAAAACAAAACCTGATTTAAGGATATTTAATAAACTTAAAACTGCAGCAACACATCACTTAATGAGTTTATGGAGCTAAAAAAAATGCAAAGGCAAAACAAAACAAAACAAATGAGGAAAAAAAACTTAAAAAAAAACTTATTAGTATGTCATTTAAAATAATTTAATGAAGTGTTTTCCTCAGTGTTTCCAACAGATGTCAGCTCTGTCCTACTGATGTGGCCTCGGTCGCAGCTGAGAGGAGGATGCTGTTTGGAGGAAAATCAGCGCTGGGACGAGCTCGGCTTATTTGGATGTTGAGGAAAAATGGCTACCGGCAGAAGGAAGGAGAGGGAGCAGTGACCACTTTGGGATTAAAGCATCGTTTGTGACATATGGATATACACGGAGTGCCCCGCATCGACTTATTTGACACATTGGAGGTTATCGTCAGCGTTAGAACCGAAGAATTTAGCCGTAAACGCCGCTTGCTGGTAAGTGTAAGGCGGATACACACGAAAGACTCATAGGTCTCTGGAGCGGCTAGCTTAGCGCTGTAGCCGCTAGCTGCCTAGCATGGGAGTTAGCATACACAGGAATGTGCATCTCGGCTTGCGTTAACGTTACTTTCCGCCAGAGCAACATTTAATGCTAACGTTAGCATGTCAGCGGCAATGCCCAGAGAGACATTACACATCCACTCTTAATAATAACACCTTCTTTATTTGCAGTGTGTTTATTGAAGGCCATACAGTTACACACGGACGTCACCGTTTAGCTTGACAGTTGTCGTTCAGATGCTGCGTTGCTAGTGCGATCAGCTGGTCGCCACTAGCTAACTGTTGTAAGCTAACGTCGCTGGCAGCATTTCGGTCACACGTTACAGGTTTGATGTTGTGTTGTGTTTGTAGATCAGTGTCCGCAGACGGCGGAGCTTTATGCGAGTATTTAAATGATCACAGTCCCTGGAAAACAGTCGAGGACGCGGAGCGGTGTAAACGTTGGGGACACAGCTACAGTATGTGACGTTGGCTAGGTTTTATTACTCAACACTGACTATATTATGGGTGGATAAACAGGGTTGTGACTTAGCAGTAATATGCATGGTTTGCTGATTTTAAAAAAAAAAAAAAAAGTCGCAATGAAATGGCATATTTACTGCGGTTATATCGGCCTCAGTCCTGGCTCACACCGCCTGCTGTGTGTCTGATGTGCAACTTGAAGTCACCTGAGTGTGGCCACTGGCCAGTGCATTGTTCCTGATTACATGGCTGACTGCATGCCTGCCTGTACAGACAGCTAACAACCAAAACAGCAGCTCAGCCCGACCTGCAGGCTGGGGGGTGGGGTGGGGGGTGGGGGGGGGTTAAATGTGGTCTATGATGCGATTAGTGTTATTACAAGCCAGTGTCATGTTTTTGTTTTGCAATGTTTACTGTGTCCCTCGGCAGTGTGAGTGGTGAGCTGTGTGACACAAGCCATAGATCACATGATTGAAATGGTTTTTACTTCTGCAGGTTTTAGCAGTTACAGACACAGCCTGTGACAGGGAATTATATGAGATTCCAAACTTAATTGGAAAAAATATTGAGTNTAGCTAACTGTTGTAAGCTAACGTCGCTGGCAGCATTTCGGTCACACGTTACAGGTTTGATGTTGTGTTGTGTTTGTAGATCAGTGTCCGCAGACGGCGGAGCTTTATGCGAGTATTTAAATGATCACAGTCCCTGGAAAACAGTCGAGGACGCGGAGCGGTGTAAACGTTGGGGACACAGCTACAGTATGTGACGTTGGCTAGGTTTTATTACTCAACACTGACTATATTATGGGTGGATAAACAGGGTTGTGACTTAGCAGTAATATGCATGGTTTGCTGATTTAAAAAAAAAAAAAAAAAGTCGCAATGAAATGGCATATTTACTGCGGTTATATCGGCCTCAGTCCTGGCTCACACCGCCTGCTGTGTGTCTGATGTGCAACTTGAAGTCACCTGAGTGTGGCCACTGGCCAGTGCATTGTTCCTGATTACATGGCTGACTGCATGCCTGCCTGTACAGACAGCTAACAACCAAAACAGCAGCTCAGCCCGACCTGCAGGCTGGGGGGTGGGGTGGGGGGTGGGGGGGGGTTAAATGTGGTCTATGATGCGATTAGTGTTATTACAAGCCAGTGTCATGTTTTTGTTTTGCAATGTTTACTGTGTCCCTCGGCAGTGTGAGTGGTGAGCTGTGTGACACAAGCCATAGATCACATGATTGAAATGGTTTTTACTTCTGCAGGTTTTTAGCAGTTACAGACACAGCCTGTGACAGAGGGAATTATGTGAGATTCCAAACTTAATTGGAAAAAATATTGAGTTGGTAAGATCTTTTGTAATTTAAGACAAAATGACATTGTGAAATTTGGTATAACACGTCCTCATGCTTGCATCATCTGTGCAATGCAGGAATTTCTTTTTGTTTGCCCCACAGGGTAAAAACTGCAGTTCACTTAGTGCCTGTAGGTTAGATGCAAATATTTGCAAATTAGGTAGACAAATACCATTTTAACACAAAGTCCATCACTTTGAAATTGACCAAAGATCACCTGCTCAGGAGGCTGTAGATCATCTTGATCAACTTCAGCCAACATTTACTGCTGTTCCCACCTTTGGTAGACAGTTTCATGAGATGTTTTGTATGTTTAGTATCAGGTTATATCACTGGGACTCTGAGACATTCTGTTGCTAAAATGGCTGTGTGTAACATCTTAATCTTTTCCAATTACATACCTGTTTCTATTCATAATTCACGCAGGCATCATTAATTTACATCCTAGTCAGTCACACTTAATAGCAATGTAATAGATGTTACATGCAGCTCAATTGTTTATCCTGGTTGTCTCATGCTTTTCTGAGGTTTCACCTGCCAAAAACAATCATCATGCCCACTCATAGCTCTTTGTTACAGGTGTTCCTTTGACCCACATAGACACAATAATAATAATAATGATAATTTGTATAGTTATTTCCTTCCAACAAGTTAAAAACAATGCCTCCAAAATGACCATTCAGAGCTTTGCAAGCTTAAGCAAATTGGTATTTACTGCAGGGCGACTGCATTGTAAGAGTGTCATGCAGTGTTGTCTGCACCAAGGATAATGTTGTATGACTACAATGACTACAGATATAATATTCATGCAATGGAGAGGTTTAGCAAGTAATAATTTAACAAAAAGGGTGATTTCATAAAATTTAACATCGCTTTTAAAAGCTTTTTAGTTTGTTCAAAAGTAAAATTTCGAAACCATTCTCATTAATCATTAGATGCGCCGTAAATATAGACAGCTGCTCATCACTGTGCCCAGACTCTTGGCTTTATAAACCATTGGTTTGTCCAACCTTTTATCGACTTGTACCTGAACATAGTGAAGCTGTTGTGAAAAGTTGCTGCGGTCATGCCATATTAAATATATTTGGTTCTATTAAACAATAATCCGGCATGTCAACACCAGCAGGGTCATCGTAGACGTGTCAAATGAATGGCAGCAGCCAGTCAAATGCTGTTAAAGCGATGAATGTAGCTACAGTAAAGTCTGTTCATACTTCAACCACCTTTGAGAGTAACTGATGGTCATTTGAATGTCGTAATCTAATATAAAAACCTGATTAGGTGAAGTAGCTGTTGATATATGTGCAGGTCTGCCTCTGTAACATTCAGACACAAATTGAGTTTATGTCTTCATACAGGGCCCTGTGTGTTTCTACTGTGAGCAGGATGCTCTGATTTCATGTACTGTGTTGATGAAGTTAGTAAGTAAGCCAATTAGCTGACATTAATTTAGAAGTACTAATGGAATGATTAGTTGATTATCTTTTGGTTTTGAACCTCTGGTCGGAAAAAAAAAGAAGCAATTTGTAAACAATCTGTTATTTTTTTTTTTACTATTTTCTAACGCTGTAAAGAAATCAACCGGTTAATCTCTAACAAAAATAATTGCTGCTTCCAGTCCTTACAAAAAAATTTTAAAAAATGAATAATTGAAATGTTAAGCAACAACAACAATAGATGTCACCACTCTTCATGCTTTCATATAAACAAAACCAGAAAGCCTTTAATCACTGAACTGTAGTTTTCCATGTGGTTTAAACTTGCCAGGCGAAAAATATTTTGCATGAAACTAATTACATGGATAGGAACACAAGAAAGAGTAGATATTGGCGCGCTGCTAACCGCCAGTAACCGAAGTGTTTCACATTAGCCGGTTTTGCTCTGGTATGAAATGGACTTCTTGTGAAATGTTGTCCATGTTGTTTACAGTGGGAAAACATTCCTCAGTCTACTGGTGTCCTCATCATTGTTTATAAAGTAACTTTAACATCACACTCCAAGCTGTGTAACCCCTTAAATATACTGTAATAGAAGAAAAGGTGATACTGCCACCTGCTACTGGCTGATTGTTGGTGTCAGGTGTTATTGCCTGTGATACTGAGTGACATATTGGCACATATTTAATTTGTTTTGGTGACTTTTTAAGTTGACATAAAGAATGGCCTTTAGAGAAGTATGTACGAAACTCTATGACAAAATAATGTTGGCAAGAACATTAAATATGTCTGCCTTCAATTAGTTTTTCAAACCACAAACATTCGAATTTTTACTGGAGTTTTATTTTTCAAATTTCCACAATATGCTAAGATAAGATTGTTTAACCCACAGGGCCTTTTTTTTTTATTTTCCACAACAGAAACTTACAGTTGAGTTTCCCTCTCGCTGTGATTTACTGAGATTACACAACTTGCCAGTAGTTAGCGTGATGAAGTAAAGTCAGAAGTGTAACCTCAGGGACTTCCTGTCTTTCCACTGCACTGTCAATGCTAACGGGCACTAGAACTGTTAAACTCTTATCACCAGTTCAGTCATTTCAGCTGGGTTTACTCTTCAGGCCTAAAACGAGGGTTGCTATGACTTTAGCAATTATGCAACATTCATCATCCCTCCATCGACAGCTGTAGTTTTCTTTGTTATTAGTATGTATTTCTCTCTAGGGGAGGTAGAGTAGTTATTCCTGTAGGTATCGGTTAAGATGCTACACAGTATTTTGATCTGCGTTGTTTGTGGAGTCCCTTATGTCTCACGAACATCAACTGTGAACTTTCAACATGTTTACCCCCTTCTATTTGTGACATTTAACTGTGATTAAACATTGCCATGGTTCTGTGATAGATCATATGCCTTTGACTGAAGTTGGTGTCTTGTACCAGGAACTGCTTCTTCTCCCTTCTTAAAAGCTATTTGGTTGTGAAGTATGTGAAAGTGCCTGCTGAATATCGGGGAATATATCAGCCCACGTACCTGACAGACAGACAAACAAACACACATATGCAGCTTGAATGGCACTCAGTAGAGTCTTTCACCAGATCCAGATTATTATTTGGATCTGCACCAAATTGTACAAACTCATAGATATCAACACCATAAATATGTCAATATATCAAGATCCAAACATTATTTTC